GGAGGAGGCCTAATCTGTGGGATCTGATCGGTCTATTGGAGGTAATTGGCAACAGGCGGTCTCTCAAGTACCCAGGTCCAATACCATGAAGTGACCTGAGGGACAAAAGGGGATCAAGTGGTCTTATCCTTTCAACTATCCCTAAGTGCGGGAATAATTTAGAGCTAGCTTCACCTTTCTAAGTCCCAATATGATGTACTCAATCAAGGATTTCTTGAACTTGAACAAAGCATGACTTCCCTATGTTCATTACTTGGAACGATAAAACATACATATACATTTATTTCCGTTGCCTTCAAGTCAATGTGAACTCCTGGTGATTGCTTAGATGTGTTTCTAAGTAAGATTTTGAAAGAGATATTGCCCTTGGCCTCTTCCCATATTGAGTGAAAGAAGGACTGGTTCAAGGTCAACCAGCTGTCTTTATGTCACTAGAACTCTTGGTTCCCCTGTTTTTAGTCTGGTGCCTTAACCACCACGCTAAACTTGCTCTCTTATACATCATATATTAAACATTATGTAGAAATCACTGGTTTACAAAAGTACTTTATCATTTTATGTTGTTGTTGTGATTAAATACAGCAATAGACTGTGAGTCAGGATCTGTTTTTGTTTTTGTTGTGAGGGTAATGACCTTATTCAATACCAGGAAAGGTGTAATTTGATCACATAATTTGATACTACTTGACTGTTCTAAAATATCATAAAACCTATGAATAAAGTTATTGTTTTACTTTCTGATTATAGGAGGGCATTGTACTTTAAAACAGATACACCACACATTTCCAATCATTGTGGTTAGGAAGGGTGGTGTCAGGGTTCCAAGTAACACCTCCAATGAAAGAAGACTCCGAGTTTCCTCCAAGTTCCATTCTGGCACATTTGGGAAAACCTGAATCTGAAAGTTTCCAGGTTTTCCCCACCCAAGTGAAAGTTCAAGTCCCTGCCCAGCCCCCACATGTCCATCAAAGGGTCCAATCAGGCACAGTCCAAAACTGGAGATGCTTCCCAGTCACATCATTCCAGGTGCAGGGCAAGGTGTCCTTGACTCTTTGAGAAAGGAATGTTATTTTGATTATATATCTCCCATATGCCATATAATTAGAGCCGAGGTGGCGCAGTGGTTAGGGTGCAGTACTGCAGGCCACTTCAGCTGACTGTTATCTGCAGTTCAGTGGTTCTAATCTCACCGGCNCATGACTCAACTCCCGAAGGCGCACAGAACGTTGTTCCCTTCCCACCAAAGGTGGTTCCCATTTTTCTACTTGCATTTTTTAAGGGCTTTCGAACTGCTAGGTTGGCACAAGCTGGGACAAGTAATGGGAGCTCACTCCATTACGTGGTGGGGCTAGGGATTCGAACCGCCAAACTGCCGACCTTTCTGATCGACAAGCTCAGTGTCTTAACCACTGAGTCACCGTGTCCCTTATATGGAGTATAAGGGTGCAGTATAGAACGGTACTATCGCTTCACCTGATTTTGAAAGGGTCCCTCTGGTGATACACCCTACCTGAGAGTAAGAGAGATTTGTGATGGAAATCCTTTTTTGTGGGAGAAATGGCCTTATTGTCCTTTTCTTGTGACAAGCAAGAGGCCAGATTTAAGCCAGAAAAAATGACACCTGCTTTTTTTCCCCCCTATTGTGCTGAAGAGGCAGGCTGATAACCGTTTCCTAACTATATAAATGTTTCCAAGAACTAAATAGATCTCGCACTTCGGGACTCAAACCTTCCGCCCCAAAGCGCTGGGAGAACAGGAGGCAGCCCGATAAAAGCTGCCAGGGAAAGGATAAGCATAAACCAGGGTGATTTATTTCTATTTCAGAGTCCCTTCGCTCTTCTCTCCCTTTGATCGCAATCTGTGTTTTTCTATTT